GGGCAACAGGGACCCTCCCAACGTTTTTGGCTTAGCTGGTGCCGATCCCTGCGTGTGAGCACAAGGGGCCGTATTCCGATGTGGTAACAGGAAGGGGCTTTGTCTCCTGCCCCCAGATACCCCGTCCCAGCGGGTGCAGTTCATCCTCGGGACCGAGGAGGATGAGCAGCATGTCCCCCATGACTTGTTCACCGAGCTGGATGAGATCTGCATGAAAGGGGATGAAGATGCCGAGTGGAAGGAAACGGCAAGGTGAGTCCCTGCGGTGGGAGAGGAGTCCCCACGCTGGCAGCGCCGGCGGGCTCTGCTTTCCGCTCTTGGGGACACAGAGCTTGTGCAGCTGCAGGTGCCAACATGAGGGGCCCTCTCCTCCTGCCGCCCCGTAGCTCTGCCAGGGCGGTTGCGGAGCTGGGGCTGCCCCCCTGCAAGGGGGCTGACCACACCTGGTGCCCGCAGGTGGCTGAAGTTCGAGGAGGATGTGGAAGATGGTGGCGAGCGCTGGAGCAAGCCCTACGTGGCCACGCTGTCCTTGCACAGCCTCTTCGAGCTGAGGAGCTGCATCCTCAACGGGACGGTGCTGCTGGACGTTTGTGCCAACAGCGTCGACGAGAATGCAGGTCCGGCCCTCCGGGAAGGGCCGAGCTCAGCTCGCCGCCCTTCGCTCCCAAATCAAACCCGGTCCCAACGGAGGGTCCTGCTCTAGAAGTCCCGCTGTGTTTTTAACTTGTGAGTTGGCTTTGGGTCTAGTCTGGGCATGCAAGAGTCATACCGGCTTCTTCTTCCAAAATGGGATCTTTTTGAAAGCTATTTGGGGGTTAGAAAAGCCATTAGAGAATGTTCTCCAGCCAAAACGGAGTGTGTGTCAGGGCACAGCTCTTAGAAATGCAGAGGCTGCGTAAGAGCCAAACCTCCTCAAATAAACTCTTTCTTACAAGCCATTTCCCCACATTTTTTTTTCCCTTTTGCCTTAGCATCCGGGTTTTACGAGTTTTTAAAGGCAGAGTTTATCTGGCAGGTGACCAAGCAATGTATTTCTATGGGGCAGATAATTGAAGTTAATTGTAAAAGCAGCTTTGGAGAAATTCTCGTTGACTGGCAGGTTTCCATGCAGCCCTTTCAAGAGCTGGAGAAGTTGGAGCTCTTCTTAGCCCATTTCTCCCTGGGCTCAGCAAATTGCAGTCGATCGGCTGAGTCTGTGCTATAGATTGCTTATAATTTGGTTAAGTGTGTAGAGTCAGACAGAAAGGCCAGATCAGGCAAGGAAATTGCATTATTTAGACTGGGAAGTAATCATCGGAGCGGCGTGATGAATAAGCACTTGGATGATGGTTTTTAGCAAGAGAGAATTCATGTCTTTCGCTGCAGAGGCTGAGCTGTGTTCAAACATCTTGCTTAGCAAGGTTGAGCCCACGTCAGGATATCCTCCACGGCAAAGCCTTCCCTGGGGGCTTTGGGCATCACGACTTGGGGGTTTCTACTCTGACGGCTTCTCATTTCCCTTTGCCATCCCCAGATATGATCCTGGGCCAGCAAGACCAGTCCACGGAGTTTGACGAGCCCATGCGGGCGAAGGTTCGAGAGGTCCTTTTGAAGAAGCATCACCACCAGAACGAGAAGAAAAGAAACAATCTCCTCCCCATCGTCCGCTCGTTTGCTGACGTGAGCAAGAAGCAGTTAGAGCTGCACCAGCCAGGTGAGAGCTCCTGCAGGGTTTGCCTCGGCATGAAGGTTCCTGCCGGGCTTTGGCCCCATTAGACTTGTCCTGGCATGGGAGAAATGTCCAAACTGCTCTTTGTTCATCTTTCTGAGTGTCTATCTTTTTCCTACCAGCCCAAACACTCACCCCTCATCCTTCTCCCACCACTGCAGAAGCTAAATATGGGGTGAACCACGAGCCCAACTCGATGGATTTAAGCAAGGTGAGGCACTCGTAGCTCTCCCGCACCTTTAGGTCCTGATTTGCTCTTGCAGACTCAGCTGCAGAGTGGGCAGCAGAGTGCTGGGGGCTTTGCTTTTGGGGTAATTGCCTGAAAATCGCTCGTTGTGCCCAGGCGGAGCTGCACTTCATGAAGAAAATCCCCACTGGGGCTGAAGCCTCCAACGTGCTCGTGGGAGAGCTGGATTTCCTTGGGCAGCCCATCGTGGCGTTCGTCCGCCTGACCCCGGCCGTCCTCCTCTCAGGCATGACGGAGGTTCCCATCCCAACAAGGTCTGAACGAGGAACACAGAAGTTTTTATTTAAAAACCCCGACACAACATCGGGTTGCGTGCACCCGTGTGGCATCCCAAGGGATCAAGGCCAGCGGGAGCACTCACGCTTCTCCCACCCACATCTCCTCACCTTCATTTCTCCCTTCCCTGCTGTAGCTTTTAAACCCTTTGGCCAATTTTAATCGAAGTTAGTCCCAAAATTAAATTTGTGCAGAGTCAATGAGCCTATGTGTCCCCTCTAGAGCCATGTGCTGGACTGGGAGCTACCAGAGATTTCCTCGGTGCTCTTTGAGCAAATTCTTCTCTCTCATTGTGTGTTTTTCTTGCCCAGATTCCTGTTTGTTTTGCTTGGCCCTGAAGGAAAAGCCCACCAGTACCATGAGATCGGCAGGTCCATGGCTACCCTCATGACGGATGAGGTGCGACGAGCTAAGAGCTCTCTCGGGGTCATTTTCTGTCTTTCCTCATCTGCCCCTGTCTCTGTAGGAGTGAGGATTGCATTTAGCCAAGAGCTCGTTGCCCTGCTTAGGACGTCCGAGGCGGGCTGTCCTCTCACCAGGTTGTCTCCTCGCGGCAGGTTTTCCATGATGTTGCCTATAAAGCCAAGAACCAGGCTGACCTCGTGGCCGGCATCGACGAGTTCCTGGACCAGGTCACGGTCTTGCCACCAGGCGAGTGGGATCCTTCGATCCGAATCGAGCCCCCGAAGAATGTCCCTTCTCAGGTAGGGGCTGCGGCAGCGGAGGGAGGCGTGGGGAGGGACGAGCAGGGTGGTGGCAGGGCCGGGGACGCCGCTCGGGGGCCAAATCCACGAGGTTGTCACTGGCGCATCCCCAGAGCAGAAGCCAAACAAGCCCGCGGTTACAGACACAGATCTTGGTCCCATTTCTGTTTTAACAGGAAAAAAGGAAGATGCCAGGAGCTCTTGATGACAGCGCTTCTCACAGCAAGCCGGAGAAACACAGCGGTCCTGAACTGGAGCGGACGGGCAGGTGTGAGCTTTGGGACTTTGGGGTTTTTTCCCTGTTTGCCTCTAAAATCTGAGCAAGCCCCT